TATAAATATTACTTTCTCTTTATTGGTGACTACTCTAGGTTTGTATGGGTGTTTTCTATGTTTGCTAAATCTGATACTAATAAATTCATAACATTTTATAAAATGGTCCAAACATAGTTCAAAGCAAACATCAAAGTTCTAAGGCTCGATGGCGGAGGTGAATATACATTCTATACCTTGAACACTTACCTCAACTCCTTTGACATTATTCACCAATTCAGTTGCCCTTATACAACCGAGGAAAACGAGGTAGACAAGCAGAAACATCGCCTCCTAATCGAAGCAACAAGAACTTTCCCACTTACCCCTCACCTTCCCACCGAATTCTGGACAACATCTCTATTAACAACATTATATCTCATAAACTGTATGCCGTCCAAGATTACAAAATAAAAATCTCCCTAAGTACTTCTCTATCATGCATCACCCAAATATACTCATCTCTGCGTCTTTGGATGCCTCTGCTTCCCTTGGCAAAAATCACAATCCCTACCTAAACTCACTCCCATCTCCCCACCTAGCATCTTCATTGGCTACCCTCCACATCACAAGGGCAACTATTGCTACAATCCTCAAACTCACCAAGTTAGCATATCTAGACATGTGGTCATCAACAAACTTATGTTCCCCTACCATACTCCACCAACATTATCTCACACACGCAACAAATACACCCCATCAAGCCTACTAACACCAACCTCTATGTAGCCCACCAAACCAACCAACCAACACTTCGCCCCCCCAACCAGCCAACATACCGTAACCTCCATGTTTCCCAACAGTTCCTCTCAGCCCACCAAATTACCAATCTCACTCTCAAAATCCCCATCCATTCCACCCCCTACAACAACTAAACATCCAATGGCAATCCACTCCCAAACCGACTTACTTAATCCCAAAAAAATTCTCAATCTCCATACATCCATCTCTCCTACATCCGACCACACAACATACACTCAGGCCATTAAACATCCTCATTGGCGCACGACGATGTCCATGGAATTAGAAGCTCTTCAAGGAACTTAGATTCTTGTTGATGCACCTCATGCAAACATTATCGGTTGCAAATTGACATATCGTACCAAATATCCTCAAGATGGATCAACAATCAAGTTCAAGGCAAGATTGGTCACACATGGCTTCAAGCAACAATGCAACATTCAATACACCGAAATCTTCAACATCGTTGCCAAAATGCCCACCATCCGAATTCTCCTTTCCATTACAACTTCCTACCACTATCCCATTAAACAACTTGATGTCTCCAACACATTCCTCCGCGGTTCTTTGGACGAAACTATTTACATGATTCAATCTCAAGCCTTTCAAGACACCCAATATCCGAATCGAATGTCTTCTCAAAAAGGAAATTTATGGCCTTAAACAAGCTCCTTTGAGATGGTATTCCATCCTCATCATGTATTTAGGGTATGTTTGGCGCAACTGTTGATTATTTATAATCTGCTGATAAACAGATTGTTCTGATAATCTGATAATCTGGCTTGCTGTCTGGGGTAGCTTATTCATATTAGCTTATTAGTGATTAAATGACATTCCTGTCCCTGTCTGCTAAAACTGTTTGGGACAGCTTATTGGTAGTGCAGAAGCATATAGTGCAGAAGCATACAATCATCACAGATCAGTTCCAAAAGATAACATACAGTTCTCACATTCTCGTAAGTATCAAAAGAAATAAAAAAAGTACAATTACAATGAGAAATATTAAAATATTTAATTTGAAACTTTGGCTACGTCTCTCCTCATCTGCACTATCAACCTCGAAAAACATCGCATTCCCATGACTGCTGGAAGTGTAATTTTCATATAGTAGGCCTCATAACCCATAAAGCAGACATTTGAACAAAACAAAATTCACAGGATTCCCTCAAATGCTACAAAAGGCCAACAATGATACTTAAGACAACTAATGCCATAGATCAAACCGCACCATAGATTCACAGCATTTCCTTGTTGTAGGGATTAACAACATTTCCACTGAGGCAAACCACACCAAGACAACTAATGCCATAGATCAAACCGCACCAAGACAACTAATGTCATATGGATTAACAACATTTCCACCGAGGCAAACCGCACCAAGACAACTAATGCCATAGATCAAACCGCACCAAGGCAACTAATGCTATAGAGATTAACAGCATTTTCACTGAGGAAAACCACTGTATAGCCAAATCAAGACTCCCTTATATCAAATTACTCCATAACAGAAAGTCAGTGTATAATTTGCCACCACACAAACAACAACTAAACCAAATCCAGGATCGCCAAAACCACAAAACAGATGCCCAAAACCAAATCCAGGATCGCAGCTAGCAACCCAAATCCAACAACCAGTTAAAATGTCAAAATATTGGGGCATAGAAAATGAAACATATCTCAACAGACGTAAAACCGAAAACCAGAGAATATGCCATAAGCCACGAGATCGCTAAAACAACTCTTAAGAGGCATAAAACCGAAAAATCAGAGAAAATTGCAGAAGCCACAGGATCCCCAAAAGAACTCTTAACATGTGTAAAACCGAAAAAACCAGAGAAAATGCAGGATCCCCAAAACAACTAATGTCATAGATCTAAACTGGGCAACACCTTAAAACTCTTAATCTCATCATATTTCCTCTGAAAAAGATAAAAAATTTCATTTCATGCATCAACACTGCTCAGAGAGAATATCAGAGAAGAAAACATCTCATGGCTCACAGCTAGGGTAATGAAAAAGATATCTGATGATCTGGAATGAAAATTTTGAAAGGAAGAAGGTTCGATCTCCTCTAGGGCGACGACCCAGAAAGGAAACCAGCGAGGGAGGAGGCAAGGGACATCGAGGGCACCTCTGGAATTCCTAGGGCAACACGGATGGCTAACGCGGGACGCGGAGCTTGGACAGCGTCGAAGGAGTAAAGGAATTTAACCAACGCGATGCAGTGCGGGAGAGGAACGCTAGTGCGAACGTGTTAAACAAACAGGGAGGCGGCAAAACAAAGGTTTTCATTGTGGTACCGTCGATCCCTGCCTCCTTATATACAACCATAAGGAAACCACAGCCTACTACCTTTTCTATGTGGATGACATTCTTATCATTGGTATAATCCATTTACTATTACTAGCCTCGTCCATATCCTCAAAACTAAATTCCAAATTAAGGAGGCCAGCACTATCAAAACCTTACTTGACATTACCAGTCAACAAACACCACTCAACTACCTTCTACATAAATCCTCCTACATTCTATGCCTCCTACAACAAGTCCACACTCTTCCCCACAAACTACAACCCAATCAAAACTCTCTACAGGAATATCATGATGTCACACAGTACCACCAACCAGCCGTCTCTCTCAAATTTCTCACTATAGCCAGGTCTAATATCACCTTCATCATCAATCACATGTCAATAAACGCACCGTTCCCTAATATACCACTTCCAACAGATCAGGCATCTACTACGTTACTTGAAAGGCACCATCAACTTTGGTCTCCCCATCACCACAGGCAATCTACAACTTCGCACGTATTCCGACTATGATTGTGCTGGAGATTTGCAAGACATGCGCTCTGCAACCGTCTTCTGTACATTTCTCGGTAGCTCCCTCATCTCCTGGACAATTCAAGAGCAAAAGACTGTTGCTCGCTCTTCTATAGAAGCCTAATACCTCGCTCTCGCTGTAGCTACAACAGATGTCCTATGGATCCGCCGACTTCTTCAAGAGTTCCAAATTCTCACAAATGCCCCCATGCCAATTTTCTGTGACAACACTTACAACCATAGCTATTACTCAATCCAATTTTCCACGCCTGCACAAAACATGTTGAGATTGATTACCACTTCATTCGAGATCACATCGCATCGGGTGCATTCAGATTATGCACATCAACTCTTCGGATCATGTAGTCGATATCTTCACAAAGAGTCATCCAACAACCACCTTCAATAATCTTCGGAACAAGCTAACTATTACTCCCTCTAATAGTCAGCTTGAGGAAAAAAACTTGCGTACGATGTTTGGACGATGCTGCGTCCAGAGAATGGCCGCAATGCATTGATCGTGGCGGTTTTTTTTTTTTTGTTTTTTTTTTTCTTTCTCAGCTGCGATCTGTTCATTGCGGCCGTTGTCCGGGTGCATCTGAACAAAGTGGGCAAGTTTTTTTCCAGCTTGAGGGGGCATAACAAGCCTATTCCACTAAGCAGCAAAAGGAATTCTCCTTCCCACTCTCTCTGCCAACCACTAAGGGGTCAGGACCACGTTCCCTTTTAGAATACTTCAGTTTTGCTTGTACATATACACTCCTGTAATAATTTTCTGTTTAATACATACATTACTTTAGTATTTACTACTGTAAGGAGATTTGGGGCTCTCGTGTTCCTTACGGCGACTACCATGGAGCAGTTGAACTGCTTTGTGTCTTGATTCCTCTCAATTCTTTATAGTGCCTCTTTCTGCTTCGCCTCCCCTTAGGTGCTACCTAGCCTGAGGTGATTGCTAGTGCCATGATGTATTGATTTGCCATTTTATTTTTGAGGACGCCTAACACCTTTTGATAATACTAGTCAGTCTAATTCAGTCGGAAAATCATTCTTTTTTGGGTCAATCTATGATAAAAAAAGTTTTATTACCAATGGGAGATTTAAAGGGTCAAGGAATAATTTTTAAATTAATGCATTCCATGAAGACTCGGAGGGAATCTGTCCCAGTGGAAAACATGGACCGAGAATTTATATGATTAGAATATAAAGGAAACTTAGATTTGGGGTCAGAGTAGAAGGGATTATTCTAAGAGGGCTCAAGAATTTATAGTTTTAGGGATATGAAGGAAATTTACTGCATGATAGCGTAAACTCCAAGTTATGTTAAACCAAACAAATCTTATGCTTCTTAAGTCCTACTTTGTTATGCTAACTCTATGTTTCCTTCTTTTCATGCTTGTCATTCTCTAATATTTGGATTATTATAACTTTATAACCACATTGTTCTTAATGCAGTCATGTTTTTGCCAACTCTTGATTAACAATTAGCGCTAAAAAGGTGCCTTTCTAAAGGCATGGAACAGTCTTCACGGCCCCCACAGCCCTTAATGGGGATTGTACCCGGCGCAGCTCAAATGGCCTATGCTGCTCCACCCTATGCACCACCCATGGCTACCGGTGCTCCACCCATCATTGGAGCCATGCCTTCGACCCCGCCTCTCGTTGGCCACTCCCCATTCCCCACCGCACAGCACCAGCTCTCCTATCAGCAGGCCCAGCAATTCCACCACCACCAGCAGCAACAACAGCAGCAACAACTGCTCGCCTTTTGGTCCAACCAGATGCATGAAATCGAGCAAACAACTGACTTCAAAAACCACAGCCTCCCTCTTGCCCGCATCAAGAAGATCATGAAGGCCGATGAAGACGTGCGGATGATCTCCGCCGAGGCTCCCGTGATTTTTGCCAAGGCTTGCGAAATGTTCATCTTGGAGCTCACTTTGAGATCCTGGATCCACACAGAGGAGAACAAGCGGCGGACGCTCCAGAAGAATGATATCGCCGCAGCCATAACCCGCACCGACATATTTGATTTTCTCGTAGATATTGTCCCCAGAGACGAGTTGAAGGAGGATGGTCTTGGGATTCCGACGGCGGCTCTCCCGAGAATGGGGTCTCCGGCGGATCTGGTCCCCTATTATTATGTGCCTGTTGATCAAACGGCATCTCCTGGAGCGGCGGTGATGTATGCTTCGGCTCCGCAGGGTCATCCAATGGGTTATGTTTGGCCGCAGCAGGCTATTGTGCAGCCAACTCTGCTGCAATCAGAGCAGAACCAGATGCCTGATGGTGGTTGAGATGTTGAGTGTTGGAAGAGTTGGGAGTTTGTTTCAAAAAGTCTGATGGGTTTTTTGTGCAATATATGTGGCTAGCTTGAGAATTTATATACTGTTGTTGTGAGGATTTCTTAGGAATTTGGTGAAGGTGGTGGGAAAGAACTGGGAGGTAAATGGGTTTCAGGTGCAGCAGAATTTGTGGATTTTAATGGAATCTGAATGTGAGGGAGGATAATTCTTTCAGCTTTTCTCATTTTCTGTTTGGGTTTTTAATGTTGTCTAACACCTAAATATTCTGTATGAAAATATATACTTCACTTTTAAAATGTTAAAATAGTGGTATTTTTATGTATTATAAAAGATTAGTGGGGTATAACTATTAAAAGGAAAGTTTAGGTGTTTGATATGTAAATATGGAAAAATTGGGAGTTTAGTATGTAAATGCCTTGAACATGATGGGCTTCTTATTTGTGGTTTGAAAAAGAAAATGCTGGGGAATATTGTAGCTTTTTCCTACATTTTGATTTGAATATCTTGACTTCTTTTTTCTTAAATGATGTTTAAACACAGATTTGAACTGAAAATATTTTCCCGGAATAGCAATTTTTTTAATTTTCCTGAATTTTTTTAATTTTTCATACTATATATATATATATGTATATTTTAAAAGGAATGACCATAGGCTATTATACGAGCCTCCAGTCACTCTTAATGTCCCTAATAATTTGAGTACTGCCCTCCTTAAGACTCACATCGTCAGAGGGGGATTTGAACTCCTGACTAGAAAAAACATACACCAAGGCAGGTGTGTGTGTGTGTGTGTGTGTTTTATTTTTCTCCCTTTTGGAAGAATAACGATCCTTATAACCTCATTTGATTTTATTTTGTGTAGTTTTGCTTTTTCCTTGCGTAATTACATATCTAACAACTAGATTAAAATTAGAGCATAGCAATTTCAAAAAGCATAAAATAGAATCTAGACTTTCATAGATAATTTTAATGTATATCACAATTCAATAATGTGAGCTTGAGTTTGAAGTTAATGTGAGGACAAAGATGCAAAATAGAGTGAAGAAAAAAAGAATATTCCCATCCTTGGAAAAGATAAGATCATGCTACATTTCCATCCATCTAGGCTGAAATTTAATATTCTATCTACTTAGAAAAGTAAAATCTATTCAAACTTCCTATAATTATTTTATATATTTTTAAAGGCTGAGATCAAATGCTAATTTTAATCAATTATATGCAAACTTAGAATTTAAAAAAAGGAGAATTGTGTTTTTTTTTCATTATATAAAATATAAGGATAAGAACTCATATTAGTTTTAGTTTATAAGTATAATATTATTCTCTTGATTTGTTGAGAGAGAGAGAGAGAGAGAGAGAGAGAGAGAGAGTCCCTTGACTCTTTAAAAGCGGTCATTTTAATCCCAAATTATAAAATGTCAACTTAATCATAAACTTTTCTAATGTGAGCTAAATAACCTTCTTAAGAGATTATTTCAACTCGTATTAAATAAGTATGATGTTAAGTTGGCACTTTGAAAGCGAAACTAAAATGATCCCATGTAAATAGTTAGAAGAGTATTTTAACATTTTGCACTTTGAAAAATTTACATTCACAGCACACAATTCTTATGTATTTACATATCTGACAACTATATTACATATTTTTTTGGTGTAGGGCAGTAATTCTTGCCTGTTGAATCTTAGTGAAAGCAACCACATAATCTCAAGCATTTGATGCCATTCATGGCACGAAAGCATCGGAGTTAGGATCACAACTTCCCAACTAACCAAATATAATTGAAGATATATTTTTCAGTACCAAACTTCATAATTATTAATCTCACCAACCTTAACCATGCCTTCATAAACTCGGGTAACCAGCTTGGCTTTATTATCTACCAATCAACTTTCTTACATACAATACTGCAATACACTGCAGAACTGGCAAACTTCTCTTCTTTGATCGAAAAGAAGTAAAACATTCTGAACCTTATATACACAATTTATATATAGAATATCTGGCCAACATTCAATAAACTCTCATGTGGAAGATTCAACATCACACTATTCTCCCTGCAAATCCTCCTCAGAAAAGCATAAATATAATCAACAGAAATCTTCTTCACAGAACTCGAATCCCTTCGAGCTCTCACTATAGTGTTCCCCAGTATGTGAACCATTCCAGCATTCCTACACTCGTTCAAAAACTCATATTCTTCACTCCCTGCATGGCTTGGTTGAGCCGAACCGGCCGAACCGCTTCCCTGATATGGCCATTGTTTGCTCTGGGGAGCTCCGGATTGGGCAGCCATGATAGACTCTTGTGAAGAATTGCTTATAATCTCCACACTGGAGTTGAAGGTGCCATCCCTTTCAGCCGTTAGAAGATCAATTGTTCTGCCATTCCTGGCTGCATCAAAGGTCGCTTCTGAATCGGTGTAACCATCCATCATTGTCTCGAGACGAACAAAAGTAGAGATGGTATCAAATAAAATTTTCTCAAAGTTATCATCTTTCCTGTGAAGGTCTTTGTATCCATACCTCGCGACGCAACGAAACATGTGAAATTCCTTGGGACCAATTCGTTTAACGAGGAACCGTTCCTCCATTGGAACGATGTAGACAGGGAGGTACTTGACACAGACGAAGACGACAACAGAATGGATTGCTGGAAGGTTGGTGATCAAGTGGGAGAAGATATGGGGAACTCCGCTTGGTAGCTCGGTATATACAAAGCCGATGCCGGGGACACGAACCAGACCGAGGCTCGGGCCAAGACCGAGAATCCAAGCCAAGGAGACTTTGGAATGAAGCTCGAATTCGTAGCGCTTCACGGTGCCATAATGCCAAACATACATGATGAGGAGAAAGGCGGCGGCGATGACGAGGGGGACCCATCCACCCTGATTGACCTTGAAGAGGACTGCGGAGAAGTATGTGAGCTCCACCAGGAGGGAGAGAGCGGTGAAGAGGAAGATGAAGATGGGATGGCTACGCCATACCAATAGCATTACAGGGATCATCAGCAAAGTTGTGACCAGCATAACCAGAACGACAGCAGTTCCTGGTTGTGGAATGAATTTAGTGATTGGAACAAGTATGTGACATGATTGAAATTTGAAAGATTTTTTACATACATACCATTCAATTCCTATGTATTTATATACCTAACATTTAAACATTAATATTGACAAACATACTTAACTTAGTGAACTTTGGACCAAAAAACCGTATAGATTTCTTGTTAGAATGGCTGGGGATCTTTGACCATATATATTAGAGACAGAACAAAGCAAAAGTTAGGATTTTGAAAAATAATACTGCAGATTTCATAATGAGCTCATAAGAGGTTTTGTAATCATTCCAGTTTTTCATGGATAATGTTTAAACAGGATGAGTGGAACAAGAAGAAAGAAAAGGCTGTTTGGCAACTTCAGGGATTTAAATTAAGCAGGATTTAATAAATCCTATAACTTTGAATTTAGTAAATCCAAGGATGGTTAAATCCTAGAAATTGTTTGGCATAACATATGTTAAATTTAATTAAATTCTGTGAAATTATTTGGCAATATCTTTTGGCATTTAAGTATGTTAATTTAAAGAATTAAGTTAGTCCAAATAACATTTTATATTGTTTATTGATCATTGATCATTAGTGAAAAAATTATTAAGCTAATTAAACAATAAATTTTGTTTGAAACTTTTCATAAAAATAACATTAATTTAATTAAGTTAATTTCTATTTAGTCTATATCAGCTTTAACTAATTTAATTAAATTATAAGTAGCATAAGATAAAATATGAATTAATAATTAATTAATAGTTTATTAAGTTAATCCAAAAATAACTTATCTCTAATTATATTAAGCCAAAACAATATAAATTAGTTACTATTCATTAGTAAGGCTGATTTAAATTTTTTATTACAACAGTCTAATTTGATTTATTTAGTGCTAATAATTTTTATTAATTGAGTACTTTATTATTTTGATTTATTTCATAAGCCTGATTTATCTAACACTAATAATTTTACTTAAAATATTTAGCTAATTAATAAATTTCTCACCTCACCTTCTTTACTTAATAATTTTACTTAAGGCTGTTTGGTTTGCTGATCAAGGAATGCAGTGTAAAAATAATGTATTGTATTTAAAATATTTTGAAGTTATTTGGCTGAGTATAAAATAATTGCAGGACCTCACATTTTCTTATTTGGTTTAAAGAAAAATGAAATTAACATAAAATATGAGGCTGACAACAGTGAGCGGGCAATAGAGATCTCTACTAGGTGGCGAGCGGAGGGAAGAGGCTAAGCTGACAGTCGAGCGCGCGGTAATTGTTGATGGGCAGGTGGTGGTGGCCAAGCTGTTGTGAGTGGGGGCAATAATTGCAGGCAGGAGGAGGCGGTAACGTACGGCGGCGAGCAATGAGCAACACTTTTCACAAAAGTTGTATTTGAAATTCACCCAAATTCAATAAATTGCAAATAAATTGAAAATGAACTGGAGAATTACATTGTAATTTTACATTGCACTTGACATTCATTAGACTAAACATCTGGGTTTCTAAAACTTCTGCAAAAGGACTGCAGTGCAATACATATGCAACAAACCAAACAAGCCTTAACAAATTTCATTATCTCATCTCCAGCCTCATGAGAAGAAGGGAGAGCTTGTGATGTGAGATTACTGAAAAGGGATATCAATTTGAGGGTTTTAGATGATGTTTTGTTGGCAACCCTAATCTTTTTCTCCCTTCCAGCTTACATGAAACTCTCAAAGAAAAGGAAGCGAAGAAGTTGCGATAGGAAATTGCAGGTGAAGCATCAAATACTTCCCTCATCTTCTTCCCCCCTTTCTGCATTTTCTTTCACTAAATCCTCATTAGTTTGACTACGAGTAGGATTCAAATTTACAAGGATTTAGTAATCATGTAAATCCAGAATTAGGAAATCCATTAAATTCCCGGATTTAATAAATCCGGGAAGTGGTCCAAAATGAAGCCAAAATCAGATTTGAAGGGAGTTAGATTTATGTGCGCGAATTTTATCATTTGTCTGGATTTACCATAAATCTAGCATAAATCGTACTTAAAAGGTTCCTCCAAACAGCCCCAAACTCTCAGATTTAATAAATCTAGGATTAAAAAAAATAATAATGTAGTAAGGATGAGATTCAAAATCACTTAGAAATATAAGTTGTCTAAAGTGACTGCTTAGAAATATTTAAAGTTAACTCTAGCTTAAATTTTCCCATGAATATGTTGCCAAACAATCCAAAAACCCAGTTAACTCATGTTGTGTTAAAGGCTTTGTTTGTATAAGGGGTAAATTGATTATTTTTTTATTTTATTAGTGTGTCCTAATCTTCTCTATTTATAGAAGGGACCAGGTCTAATTTTAATTTGTAAAGTTGTAACCCTATCTCAACCGTCTTTTATTTCTCCCAATCTGTTGACAATGTAACAATCCCTCCCTATAGATGTAGGTTGTGCTTTTGTTTTTCATATAGTTTTGCACAACAATTGATATCAGAGCTAGATTAGTGTGATTCCAACGACATGCGACTACAATTTATCAATTGGTGGAGCCATGGATAATAACATGTAGTCAGATACTTCAATATCCACCGCAACAGTGAAAAAGATGTCGCTTCATCAATTGGTTACACATCCAATCAATATTGGTGTGACAAGATTTCACGACAAAGAGAATTGACATGTGATTATGCAAGGTGATGAATGCATTGTGTTTTTTAAAGATTAAGAAAATTATTGATAGGTATGAACCTTCTGAAGATATGTCATAAAGAAATTGGTTGGAGATGAACCAAAATGTTTATAGCTCGTTCCAAAAATTGCTTATCTCTGGAGATTAAATATGAGAAGATGATGGAGACTTCTATCGGAAACTTGTGGAGGATGCAAAAGAACAAATATCTCATGAGGAGCACGAAGAATCGTCCCCATATAAAGCATAGACTCTAGAAGTTTCAAATGAAAGATGGGGTTACTATTAATAAGCAATTGAATGATTTTACAAAGCTTTTGACAATTTTGTTAAATCTGTATCAGGAGGTTGGAGACAAAGACAATATACTTTTTATGTTGAATTCACTCTTGGATGAATACAAAAACATCAAGATGACACACATCATGGGAGGGACTAGAATAATGACAATGTGACTATGACGTTCTTGAACCATGAGTTTCGTTAAAGAGAAAAAGAGTGCACAAAAATGAAGTCGGTTGAGACACTTACACTCTAGCATGACAAATCTAAGAAGAATAAGAAGAATTAGGCAAGGAAGGGTGACATCGATGATACTTCTTAAAAGCTGAACAAATCTTATGGGCACAACCTTACGAAAAATCAATGTATTTTCTATTTAAAAACTTGTCATTGGAAGAAGGGTTTTCCAAAGTTGAGGAAGAGAAATGAAGTTTCCCCTGAGGCGAAAGACAACCTTATTATGGAGACATGTCACAAGACAGATTCAAATTTGTTGTTATCTGTAGTTTCTCATAATTTACATACAGAAAATTCATGTTGAATTTTGAACATATGTGTTCCCTATCATATTTGTATCTATCGAGAATAGTTTTGTCCATACAAAAAATTAGATAGCAGTATAAGCAATGATCAAACTTGTCATATTATTAGTGTTGCGAGCGTCTTTATATGACACTGTGAGGGAGTTGATCGATACTACATGTTCCATATATCAGAAAAAATTTGCTATTAGTTGGGGTCTTAATGGCCAAGGGCTACAATGTAGTTATTGATGTTGACTATTTGAGAATATATCATGGAGCATTAATTTTCATAAAAGAAATTCATCATCACAGCCTTTACTATCTTCAAGGTAGTATAATGACTAGATCTACTGCTATTACTGATGATTTTTCTAAGAACATTACATTATGGCATATGCGGCTAGCTTATGCCGAAAAGACTTCACTTCAGGATTTGCTAATGCAAGGATTGATCAAATGAGCGAGCATCAACAAACTCGATTTCTGTGAATATTGTTTTTTTGGTTAGAAGAGACATGCATTCTTTAGTGTTGTCATCCACAATACAAAGGATATTTTCGAATATACACACATAGATATTTGGGGCACGACAAAAATGACATTATTCGACGTGTGAAGATTGTTTATCTCTTTCACTGATGTTTATTCAATATATTTGAGTGTTTATCATGAAACACAAGAGTGGTGTGCTAGAGATTTTCAAAACTCAGAAAAAGTAGATTGGACTCAGACTGGTAAATAAATATGGTGTATCAAATCAAACAACGAGGGTGAATACACATAGGATGTGTTCTTACAGGAGTGTCAAAGAGCTAGGATAGAACACCACTTCATTGTTCAAAAGACATCGCAACAGAATGAGGTGACAGAGACGATGACACGAACTTTCGTAGAGAAAAATTTGTGCATGTTGTCCAATGTTGTGTTAAACATAATCTATTGGGCCGAGGTTATAGACCATGCTAGTCACTTATGTAGCTATTGGAAAGGAGACCCCAAAATACATGTGATTGGGGCATTCTACTAGAGATTATAAGCATATGAGGGTGTTAAACTTGTTATCACGCGCAGAATGATAAACTAGAACCATAAGCAAAGAATACGATCTTGATTAACTTCGGGGGTACTAAAGGACTTCAAATTTTATTGTCGATAACATGAATGTTACATTTGATGAGGTGACCTTTTTGAAACACCAAGACCCGAAGTAGATGGATAGTTCTATTGAGACAACAAATATGCAACAAAATTTGGACTTTGACAAAACTTCATTTGTTCCACAGAGTTTGTCCACTTTTACTCAAGTATCTAATCCAGTTGCAACCCATGATTTACCTATTGACAATACTCCGGAGGAGGTGGAAGAATTATTGACATGCTCAAAATTCTATTGCCAGGAGTTGGACAAAATTCCATAATACCCAAAATTATCTTGATTGATGGATCATATTGCATTTTCACTTTCAGTCATGGAGGCTGAAATTTCTCATCACCACAACAAAACTATATAGAGCTTAGATGGTGATTTGAGGTATAATAGACGAAGAGATGAAGTTTTTTCAAAAGAATGCTCTCTGGAGGTTTGTGAAGCTTCCTTCGAGAAGGAAAGCCATTGGGTGCAAATGGGTGCATACAAAGAAGAAAATATCTCATGGGGCTGATGTGCGATACAAGCAAGGTTAGTGACAAAATACTTTGTCACAGGAAGGGATTGACTATGATAAGGTGTTCTCCCTAGTGACCAAACATCTCTTGATCCGTATTCTCTTAGAATTTGAAGCACAACACAACCAAATTTTAGAGCAATTTGATTTGAAGATTGCCTTCCTACACATGGATTTGCAATATATATATATATATATATATATACATATATATATGTTGTAGTCACCCAGATATGGAGCCTCAAAAGACTTGGTTTTGAGGTCAGACAAGTTTCCATATGTTTGAAGCAGTCACCACGACAATGTTATAAGAAGTTTGATCAGTTTAAGATGAAACATGAGTTCATATGGAACATGAGTATATGATAAGCCAATATGATCATTGTGTATATTTTAAGAAATTGACATCCACTTGCTTCTACATGTTGATGACGTGTTAATTATATTTGCCAGTCAACCTAAAGTTGATAAAATGAAGAAATAACCATCCAAAAATTTTGAGATGGAGTTGGGAAAAGCTCACATAATTCTTGGTATGTAGATGCTTCGATACAAGACAACTGCAAATGTTTGGCTTTCTAAATGAGCATATGCTCGAAAGGTGCTGAAGAAGTTTGAGATTGATGACTCGAGCAAGTTAGTGAGCCTACCCATTACATCTCACTATAGGTTGAAATCAGATCAGTGTCCCAAAGATGATCAAGAGAGAGAGGATCTGTGATCAATTCCTTATGTTACTGCAATGAGCAATCTGATGTAAGTAATGGTTTTGTACTAGACCAAACACTGTACAAGCGATTTTTGATGAGAGTAGGTTCGTGCATGATCCAAGACAGAGTCATTGACGGACTGTAAAAAATATTCTGAGGTATTTGAATAGTACAATTGATGACAGTTTGTTATTTAAGAGGCGGCCATCTATTACTAATTTGTGTCTAGGATACATTGATTCAAACTATGTAGGTGATATGAATAGGAATAGGTCTACGAATGATTATTTATTCACAATAACATGAGGTCCAGTTATTTGGAGATCGATTCTTCAGTTTACTGTTGATTTGTCTACTATGGAGGCTAAGTACCTGACAATCCCGAGGGAGAAGAAGGAAACAATGTGGATATCATGCTTAAGGGATGACTTGAGAGTTGATTAGAAGTCTCTGACGATGTTTTGTGATAGTCAAAGTGCAATATTTTTTGTCAGAAATCCAGTCATCATGTCTGTATCAAGTACATTGATGTGAGTTGTCACTTTGTTCGTAACTTGATTGATTATGATAATGTTTTATTGAAGAAGATAAATACAAAAGAAAATCCATCGAACATGCTCTCAAAGGTACCACCAATCTAGAAGTCCACCTATTATAGGAGTTTGGTGAACATCCAAGCTCAGGAATAATTACTCATTCGAGTATTTTGAAAAATTATGTGATGTTTGATCCCTTTGGGAGGGAGAGTTTGTAGGTAACCATTTTGGTGCGGTTTTTTGGTGTTGGAGCTCATTTGGTCATCTTCCGGTTATCTGGAAGTGAGAGGAATGATGGATATTACGGGCTTTCTTTGTATAAGGGGTAAATTGGTCATTTTCCATTTTTTTATTAGTGTGCTCTAATCCTCTCTTATTTAAAGGAGGAGTTATGACTTGTTTTAGTATGTGGAGTTGTAACCACATTTCAGTCATGTTTTCTTTCTCCCCACCTATTGATAATGGAATAGCCCCTACCTGTGGATGTAGGCAGATTTGTGTCGAACCACATAAACCGCACTGTGTAATTATTTGTTCGTTGAGTGATTTATTTTCCGCTTTGTCTTGCACAAAAACACAAACATCAGAAAGTTACTTGAAGAAAACAAAAGAAAAAAGCATGGGTAAAACATGCTGGCTTACCATATGCATTACCAATCTGGCTTTGATTTTTGAATCCAGCAGTAACAGCTATGCACAGAACCAATAGAATCCAATTAATATCAGGAATGTATATTTGTCCAAGGAACTTCCTTGATGTATGAACAACCTTGACCCTCGGGAAACAGCCAAGAGCAAGCGCCTGCTTGATTATAGAAAATGTCGCTGAAATAGTAGCCTGGCTAGCAATAATAGCTGCTGCTGTTGCAACTATAAACATTGGCCAGTACATGCTTCCTGGAATTAAAAGAATCACCATTTGTTCACAGGAAAAGTCCAACTGTCTAAGAAATAAAGAAGGTAGCACAGCACTGACCAGGAATTGATCGATAGAATGCATCAAAAACATGATCTTGGTGTTGCATGATGTATGCCGCTTGCCCAGAATATGCTAAAAGGAGGCAGGGGAATACAACAAGCGTGAAGGCAATCTGCACGCATAAAGTATGGTTGATTTGTAGAGAAGTTTTGATTCGAAATCTTTGCATAAATTGATCTAAAAAGAGAAAAGTGTTAAAATGGTCCCCTGACTTTTTACAAGGTGTTATTTTAGTCCTAGGGTCTAAAAAAAGTATTTATTTAGTCCTAAAACTATTTTAAAAATGGCTAAAATTATCCTCCTTGGGGACTATTTCAAACCATATTAAAAGAGTATGTGAGCTAATATGATACTTTTATAAATTTTGAGACTAAAATAACCCTATGTAAATAGTCAAGGACTACTTTGACACTTTACTTGATCTATAATTTACCTGAATAGCAAGGACCGGAAAATGACACAGGTCCGCAAATAATGCTTCGGTTCCTGAAAGAGAATATTTATCATTTTCACATGTTAACATATGCAAATTAGAAAAAAAAATGAAAAAATTATATTTGGATTAAATGACATGCTCAAGTAAAGTGAAAGTACTTGGCTTACTGAAAGTGGCTAACCTGTGATGCTAAGCATTATCCCTCCTAGGGAAGTCCAGTTCCTTCGACCGCCTTTAAAATATCTGACTATGTAAACTGGATTAAAGGCTTTTAGAACGAAACTGTCATATTTCCATATGTTGACCACTCCTATGGCCCCTATTAGCAGAAACCAGAGCAAGACAATTGGAGCAAATAACCACCCAACTTTGTCTGTACCATAATGTTGCAGGCTAAACAAGCCGATTAATATGATCACCGCCACCAGTATAACCACATCTGCAATATTGTGATTGTTGAATTAAAAAATCATCAGTCAAGCATAAGCAATATGATCACCCCCACTGATGAAATTTATTACAGGTATAACTTTCAGAAATTTAAAGTATTTCATCAGATAAAAACAGTTGCTTCATGATTAATACAGATTAAATCCTAAGAATACCTTTGCTTATCTCTGGTCGATTCACCTTGATTCCACCAGATGCTGAGAGAACTGAAAAGAAAGCACGAAAGCCACAAGTGAAATGAGAATAAATAGAAATCTCAACAACAGAGCTTAACACAAAGAACAGGAATAATAGCAATTCTACACGGAAAAAACATCAAACATGAAAGCATACCCGAAATAGCTGGAGTAAGAATACCGTCACCGATAGTCATACAAGTCGCGAGAAGAACGAGAATAAGAATTACATTTTTTCTAAAATTACGAGCCTCTAACCATAGCTTAACTTTTGCTGCAAGAGAGTTCTCATCATATGTTTGACGGCTGTATGTTGTCAGTGCTTCATCAGTTCTATGCTGATTGGGAATTGTGTTGATTTTTGCATGCCTACAAAGGAGCGAGTATAAAGCAAAAGTGCCACCTACAAAATACAAAACACTAGAAAGTTTGTTAAGTATATATAAGTATATATACATATGTGGATGCATGTGTTTTAAATGGAGTAATGCTTGATTTGGTTTTGATTTAAAGGAAAAAAAACTATAAAAATATTTTATCCTTTTGGTAAAAATGGCACCACTGCCTATCAACCTCAACAAAAAAAGGAATTTTTAGCTGAAAAATGGGAACTAACTAGCTTTTTTTTTGGGGGGGGGGGGGGGGGATTTTATAGATTGGTG